CCAGCAGCAGGAATTTGCCCATGGAAAGGGTGCTCAGGCCTTGGCAGGGGCTGCCCAGGGAGCTTGGCAGTGCCCATCCCTGCAGGTGTCCCCTGCAGGTGGCACTGAGTGCTCTGGGCTGGGGACAAGGTGCCCATGGGGCACAGCTGGCACTGCCTGGGCTGGCAGGGCTGTGCCAGACCCAGGGATATTGTGATCAAAGAAGGACAAGGTGCTGAGGGAAGGGATAGCTACATCAGCCAATTAGTCATTATTAATCCCTGGGGAAATGGTTTCAGACATTAATTTTAACTGCACTCTGCTGTTTCAGACACAGACTCCGCAGCACTTAGGGCTGGATGGCTGCTGGCATCTTCAAAACTTGTAAAAAATCCTATTCACAAATTATTTTATTCCTCTGTTGGTTATGGCCCTTTGAGCGGCCTAAAAGTGTTAAAAGTCGATAACCTCAGCTCTGCTTTCCCAGGGAAAATCCTGAACATCCACCCGTCCCTGCTGCCGTCCTTCAAGGGAGCGCACGCGCACAAGCTGGTGCTGCAGGCCGGGGTCAGGGTCACGGGCTGCACCGTGCACTTCGTGGCTGTGAGTACCCCCTGCCATCCTCCCCTTTGAGCACCTCCACCTCCCTGGCTCTCTGCCATCCTCCCCTTTGAGCCTGCACCTCCCTGGTTTTCTGAAATCCTTCACTTTGAGCACCTGCACCTTCTGCCCCCCGCAATCCCCCCCTTTGAACATCTGCACCTCCCTCGTTTTCTGAAATCCTCCCCTTTGAACATCTGCACCACCCTGGCTCTCTGAAATCATCCCCTTTGAACATCTGCCCCTCCTGCCCCTCTACAATCGTCCTCTTTGAACATCTGCACCTCCCTGGTTTTCTGAAATCCTGCACTTTGAGCACCTGCACCTTCTGCCCCCCGCAATCCCCCCCTTTGAACATCTGCACCTCCCTGCCCCTCTGCAATCCTCCCCTTTGAACATCTGCCCCTCTGCAATCCTCCCCTTTGAACATCTGCCCCTCTGCAATCCTCCCCTTTGAACATCTGCACCTCCCTGCCCCTCTGCAATCCTCCCCTTTGAACATCTGCCCCGCTGAAATCGTTCCCTTTGAACATCTCCCCCTCTGAAATCCTCCCCTTTGAACATCCTCCCCTTTGAACATCTGCACCTCCCTGCCCCTCTGAAATCCTTCACTTTGAACATCTGCACCTCTGAAATCCTCCCCTTTGAACATCTGCACTTCCCTGTCTCTCTGCAATCCTCCCCTTTGAACTTCTGCACCTCCCTGGTTTTCTACAATCCTCCCCTTTGAACATCTGCACCTCCCTGGTTCTCTGCAATCCTTCACTTTGAACATTCTCACCTCAGAGCCTGCTGGGAGCACCCTAAACCCTTGTGTTTGATCACCTGCCTTCTATGTGCAGAACTTTGTATCTAGAGAAGGTGGGGATTTTATTGTGGCCATACAGTGCTGTAGTTTGCTGGCTCTGGAGAAGGAGTGGAAATGGGTAATTTGTCCAGGAGTTTAAGCTTCCCCTAAGGGAACTTCTTCCCTAAGCATCCACCCACTGGACTGGGGGAATAGTCAATGTAAGGCCTTGGCTAAGCCAAAGGCTTTGTTAAACATGGCCCAAACTTCCTGGGTTTTATCCTAAACCTGCCTTGTTTCTTGCTTTCAAGAAAAAGAAAAAAATAGAAACAAACAAAAACCCCACTGGAAATGGCACAGGATTTGTTAAGGAGTGATCAGATGTTTGTGGGAACAGAGCAAGACTTGACAATTTATGCTGGTCAGACCTAAGTAAAGAAAGAGCAGAGATCTCTCAGTTTCAGAGCCAGGTTTTTTCAGGTCAAGGATTATTGGTTCCCTTTTGGTCACTTCTCAAGATTCAGAAGTCTCTCCTTTGCCTTCCCTCTCCCTCTGCTGCTGGAATCTCTCAGGATTTTTGCTTTGCCTTGGAAAAAGAGAGTGGAATAATTTTTTTCCAATAGAAGGGAAAACTGCATTCTTCTCTCTATGCCATGACTTGGGGTTTCTCTGTGTGGCAGCTGCTGAGGAACAAGCCCTGCCCAGCAGGGATCTGCCCCACAGCGTTCCAGGGAAGATCTACTGGATCCCTATCCCAGCTCCATGCTTGGCTCATTCCTGCTCTGGACTGAATGTCCTGCCCAGTCCAGCCCCTCCTGTCCCTGGGCTTTTCTGGAATAGAACTGTTGCTCCCTGCTGTTCTGCCTCCATCCCGCTCTCCTCTGAACCCCTCCCAAACTACAGTCAGCCCCAAATCCCACTTCCTGCCAGCTCCCCGAGGCTCCGGGCCATCCCGAGCCTTCCCTCCTGTTCCAGCTGACCCTGCCCTTGCCGTTGCAGGAGGAGGTGGATGCCGGGGCCATCATCTTCCAGGAGGCCGTGCCGGTGAAGCTGGGGGACACGGAGGCCACGCTGGCCGAGCGGGTGAAGGAGGCCGAGCACCGCGCCTTCCCCGCCGCGCTGCAGCTCGTGGCCAGCGGCGCCGTGCGCGTGGGCGAGGCGGGCAAGATCTACTGGAAGTAGAGCTGGGCTCTGCCCCTCGCACGCTTCAAGGTTCAAATCCCAGGAAAGCCACCCATGGGAATCTCGGGGCCGTTCCCAGAGGGTGCAGCAAGGGCTCCTGTAAGTGCTTCTGAATTTTAATCGCTTCCTCGGCCAACATTTTGGTTCTCTCAGTTGCTTTCCTGACAACCCCAGTGCAGCCAGGTGGATCTGAGCAGCCCTGGGTGGACTGGAGACAACACTGGAGACCCTTTCATGCAAAATCATGATCAGTCTGGCAGCTGGGAAGTGAACAAGCCTTTTTCACATGGCCTGTCTCCAGCAGAGGGATTAAGTTTCACTTTTCCAGGTGGGAAATTGTGGAAATGCTGGTGCATATCCAGCTGTTTGCCAGCCAGCAGGGCTGCTCCCTGACAGGGACCCTCCTTGTGCTGGGAAGTGTTGCTGAGGGAAGCTGCAATGGAAGAGACAGACAAAAGCAGAAACGTCCACTCTAAAAACCTCATCAAACCAGGAAAAACTGGCTTCCCCAAGTCCAATTATTGGATTTTTCTCCATTTGCTTCCTGGTTTGATGGTGGTGGATCTCATCTGGCCCAGACCCCTGACACACCCTGTCATTTCCAAACTTGAACCTGCTGTCCAAAAGATGCCGGCAGGATTCAGTGTCTGCTGCCCCTTTTTTTTTCCACAGCATTCCCATGGGAATTCCCACAAATTCCCCTCAGATTCAGCATTTTATTTTTTTACATGAGTAAAAAGAGCAGACACAAAACATGTCCTTGGCTTGTGAAACATTCCTCAGGAATTCTGAAGTGCCTTTATTCTTGAACCAGTGTTTTCACCTGCAATAACACTGAGGGACACCCAGGAATTATGAACATTTGGAAAACAATTGGGGTTTTTGTGCAGCTCAACACTTGTGGTTTTCTTTTAATATTTTCATATAGTTATGAAACCATTTTACTGTTCTTACTGCATGGACCAGGTTTCCCACACACAAAGCAGATTGGGGTGGTTTGGAGCTCCCCTTGAACACAGAGAAAACTGATTTTATTCTGGGTTCTGATGGCCTGACATACTCCCATGTTGGCATATTCTCCTTTGGGATTTGAAATAAAGCCTAATAAATTAAAAAAAAATAAATCTATCTACAAGTATTTCCTTGGAATTGATTCCCATGGCTGTAGGGGGGAGGAGGGAAGGGGCTGTACATGGTTTGGGGGCTGTGGGTCAGTAGAGAGGACACAGCTCCAGCCAGGGAAGGCAGAGGGAATAAAGACTTGGAGGGGTGAAATCACTGCCCGTGCAGGGAATCAATATCACATTATTGATCAGAGCAGCTGGATCACTGCCAGAGGCCAACAGAGAGAGCTGCCCCAAATCCAACACCCGTTTCCATCACAGCCACCTTGATCCAGATTCTGATGTTTTGCCATGTGAGCCTGCTATGAAATGGGATTTCACGGTCATACAAGGTTTGGGCTGGGAGGGACCCCAAATGCCAGCTCCATGACTTTGTTGTCCCACTCTTGCAGCAGCAGGTCCTGTTTGGGGTTACTCTGGGACGCTTCCCCTACTCTGCCACAGAAATGGATCCCTTGGAAGGATGAATTCCCCTTGGAAACACCAGATCAGTTTTACAGCTCGAGCCCTGTCCATGTAACACATTTTCTCCTTTACAGGTTTAAAAACAGAACGAAGGAATTCCAAACCTGAAAAGCCAGCCTGGCTCCCACCATGGATTTTCCAAGGGGATGTAACCAAAGCTGTGATCTCAGGAAAAAGGCTGGGAAGGGAAACTTGAGATACTGAGACATCCAAGAGAACCACATGGAGGAAAAGGGAAGAGGAGGGAAAACGAGCAGAGTCCCTCAGAGTCCTGCCCAGAGACCCTTAAGGATCTGCCCAGAGCCCCTCAGAGTCTGGTCCAGAGCCTCTCAAGGATCTGCCCAGAGCCCCTCGGGGACCCACCCACAGCCCCTTAAGGATCTGCCCAGAGCCCCTCAGGGACCACCCCAGAGCCCCTTAAGGATCTGCCCAGAGCCTATCATGGTCTGGTCCAGAGCCCCTCAGGGTCCTGGCCCAGTGGCCCTCAGGGACCCACCCAGAGACCCTCAAGGATCTGCCCAGATTCACTTGAGATACTGAGACATCCAAGAGAACCACATGGAGGAAAAGGGAAGAGGAGGGAAAACGAGCAGAGCCCCTCGGGGACCCACCCACAGCCCCTTAAGGATCTGCCCAGAGCCTCTCATGGTCTGGTCCAGAGCCCCTCAGGGTCCAGCCCAGAGCCCCTTCAGGATCTGCCCAGATTCCCTCAAGGATCTGCCCAGAGCTCCTCAGGGACCGGCCCAGAGACCCTCAAGGATCTGCCTGGAGCCCCTTCAGGATCTGCCCAGATTCCCTCAAGGATTGGCCCAGAGCCCCTCAGGGACCGGCCCAGAGCCCCTCAGAGTCTGGTCCAGGGCCTCTCAAGGATCTGCCCGGAGCCCCTCGCGTTCCGGAGGCTCCTCGGGCGAGGCCGCTCCTGCTCCCCGCTCCTCCTCCGGGCTCAGCCTCCGGCTCTCCCGCCTCCAGCACGTTCTTCCGTGGGCTCCGAGCCAGGCGGCCCCGCTGGCCACGAGCTGCAGGGCCAGGGGGAAGGCCCTGAGCTCGGCCTCCTGCAGCCGCTCGCCCAGCGCTGCCTCCGTGTCGCCCGGCCCCGCGGGCAGCGGCTCCCGGCGGATGGCGGCGCCGGCGCCCGGCTCCTCCTGCGGGCACAGAGCGAGGGAGGGCCGGGCAGCGCCGGGGAAGGGCTGGGGTGTGTGGCTGTGAGGGAAGAAAGGATTTCTTCTCCTCCCGGGAGGAGGGGAAATGGGAAAATCCCGCGCCAAAATGCAAGGGAAGAAGACAGGGCTTCAAGCAGCCCCGAATCTTCCTGCTTTTTACTGGTAACAATCCCAAGGTTCCCACCCCTTCCCTCACCTGTTACCTCTGCCTGTTTCTGCTTCCAGAGAGAAAAGGAAAAAAGCAAATTGCTAACTTCCAATTTTTTCTAATTTCCCAGTTCTGAGGCCACTCACCAGGACAAAGTGCACAGTGCAACCTGTGACTTTGAACCCACTTTCCAGGGGCTCTTGCTGGGCATTCCCGTCCTTGAGGAGTGGAAAAAGTGACGGAGAAGCATTCAAAATTTTCCCTGGGGATCAGTGTGAGAGGAGAAAAAGGAAAAAAAAAGATAATTTGAACTGAATTTCCTTAAAATGATATGTGATCATCAGTCCAAACCCTGAGCATCACTGCTCTGCTCGGAGTGAATTCCTGCTCTGCTCTGAGGGAATTCTGCTCTTCCAGCAGCATTCCCAAGGGAGCCTGTCAGTGAATGAGTAACTCCTGAGCAAGGCAGCAGGAGCTGGCACTAACTCACTGCTCACCCTTCATCAACTCACTTGGGGCACACACCGAGCTGTGTCAGCGTGTGCAGGGCACCACAGGAGGGAGAAATCCCTCCTGTGAATGGATAAATCCATCTTTCTCCCATTTTTCTCTGAGTGGGAACTGCAGGACTCCCCAGCACATCTCCCTGGCAAAGGACGGGATCAAGCTCCTTCCCTAGGGAAGGCACAGAGCCACCCCACACGCCGAGTTTGCTCCTCTCTCACTGCTGAGGCAGCACAAGGGGTTCCCTGGAAATCCTCAGCCAGAATCCCAGCACAGCCCCACTGCCAGGGGAAATGGAAGCAGAATCCCATATTCAGAATTCCCACAGTCCTACTGCCAGAGGGAAGCACAGGGTTTCCTTCATGGAATGTCAGCAGTGCCAGCAGGGCTGAGGGATTTAATCAAAGGACAAGGAACTCTGACAGTGGAATCCTGTTGAGACCAACCACCCCTGCTTTAGTTTCTCTTTTACATTTGATTTCTTACCTTTCCATTTTCGTAGAAAAGGGCTGGACAAAACTCTCATGAACCCTGACAGACAGATCAGCTCCACAGAGAATTCCTCCAGGACTCGGTCAATGGTGCTGTCGAATTCCGAGCGGCTCCCATACAATTTGTGGTCAATCACCTGGAGCAGTGAGACACAACAAAAGGTGGGATTGGGAGCAGCTGCTTGGGCAACAGAGGAACAAAACTGGATTAATTCCAGGACACTCCATGATTTGAAAGGAGGGTGCAGTGAGGTGGGGTCGGTCTTTTCTGCCATGTCCCAGGTGAAAGGGTGAGAGGAAATGGCCCTGAATTGCAGCAGGGGAGGTTCAGATTGGAGATTAGAAACAATTTTTCCCTTTTAAGAGTGGTAGGCACTGGCATGAGTTGCCCAGGGAGGTGGTGGAGTCAACTGGCCAGACTCTCTGGGTAAGGGGAAGAGGAGATCCTTTATTTCTACCCCACCTCCCATTTTCAGGTGAGTGCTGATTCCTGACTCTCCTGAGGACCTTCAAACAAGGGGCTCACAAAACTTTGTGCTCTTGCCTGTGGAAATGTGAGTGAATCTTAGTATCACTTTTTTTAAGACATGAGTCAGAAAAATATCACGTGAATTCAACTCAGGAGCTGAAGAAGCCTCTTCAGAACCCTTTCCATGCAGGGACAGCCTCTAGCAGAGTTTATTTCCATCTGTGCACAGCTGTAAAAACACCTGCTCAAACCCATTTGATGTCAGAAGGGAGAGTTCCTGCCTTTGACATCCCAAGTATTGGAATGTTCTCAGACAATGCTGGTCATCCTTGCCAGGGGTTTTTATGGAACAAGCCAGAACAAATTCCTGTCCCAAAGCGCTGCTTTGTGGCCAAAGGCAGGAGAAAACTTGTATGGGACTGGGCACAATGCGAGACACAAGTTTTCATCCTGGGGAGGAGAAAGCTCCAGGGAAAGCTGCAGAGGGACTGGGCTGTTACAGATGGATAATGAGACGATTAGCTCTTGCAATTAAGGGATGAATACTGTGTGTATATGAGGAGAAGCTTTAGTGATGTATAGTTATGTTATTGTAGTTTAGATGTCCTCTGTTCTTTTCCCTTTTCCCCCTCTGTATTGTTCCCACCAGACAGCCGGCGTTGCCTAGGACAGGTAGAAAGAAGCCACGTGCACAAACCCCTTGCATGGGACAGCTGGGAATGGAAAAGCTTGGTGCTGGGGAGGCATGACAACACCTGACCCTCCAATCAAGTGGCAAGAAATTAGTGTCCACCAAAAAACTGCAAAGAAGAGCTGACTGACAGACTTAGGGAAGGACCAGGCTTGGCTGATACAATGCCCAGGGTTGTAAAAGGCAAAGCATCAATCTTGAAGATGAGCCAGCCACGAGGTGTCCACAAGGACAGCTCCTAGTGCTGCAGTTTTTCCTTATTTAGTCCTTTAGCTGTAATTCTTGTGGAGGTTTAAAAAAGCTGTGAACATTTCGGGGCTTACCCTGGTGGGGATCCCGGCGCGGGCGGCGCGGCGCAGCTCCGGCACTCCGGGCCTGTTGGAGATGACCAGCACCAGCTGGGCACAGCTGCCCGGCTCCCGGGCCGAGCCGATGAGCGCAGGCAGGGCCGTGCCTGCAGGGGCAGAGAGCAGAGAGGGGGACACCTCAGCACCCACCGTGGGCAAGCCTCTGAACCCTTCCCCTCAGGGAAACACCCACAGCCCTGCCTTGGAGAGGCTTACCATAGAGTTCCTCCCACCTGGAAAGGACTTTCTCAGGGAGCCTTGCTTAACAATGAACCACTCCTGTTCCCTTCCCCATATGTCCCAAATTCTCGTGGTTCCTCCTTTCCCTGTTCCCTCATTGGTTGTGGTATCCCTACAGGTCTTCCCTGTAGGGCAATGCCCTTTTCCCTGCCCCTTGTGCCATCCCTGTGCCCTCAGACCATTGGCCACTGACCCTGTACTTAACCCTGTGCAACCCACATGGCTCTTTTGTCCAGCCCTGCCTTGGAGAGACTTACCATAGAGCTCTCCCAACCTGGAAAGGACTTCCCCATGGAGTCTTGTTTAACAATGAACCACTCCTGTTCCCTTCCCCATATGTCCCAAATTCTCGTGGTTCCTCCTTTCCATGTTCCCTCATTGGTTGTGGTAGCCCTAGTGGCCTGGTCTTCCCTGTAGGGCAATGCCCTTTTCCCTGCCCCTTGTGCCATCCCTGTGCCCTCAGACCATTGGCCACTGACCCTGTACTTAACCCTGTGCAACCCACATGGCTCTTTTGTCCCTGCTTTCCCTTTGATGTGCTGAAATAAACCTTGTGGCCTGGTCTTCCCTGTAGGGCAATGCCCTTTTCCCTGCCCCTTGTGCCATCCCTGTGCCCTCACACCATTGACCACTGACCCCATACTTAACCTTGTGTGTCCCACATGGCTCTTTTTGTCCCTGCTTTCCCTTTGGTGTGCTGAAATAAACCTCACTGGAACTGACCCTACAAAAGGCTCTTCTGCCTTTCTTGGCTGAGCTGGCCATGGTGGTGTGTGGATGTTATAGATACATAATATTGGCTTTTCACAAATATTAAAAGTGGATTTTACATGTGTGGTGTTAAAGTAACTTTGTTGTAAAGATATGGGTTTTATTTCTGGTGTTAATTAGGCTTAGCGAAATAGCTGATGTAAGTGTGCTTGTGTTAAAATGCCTGCTGGGATGGGACAACACCCAGTGAACACAGGATGAGGAGACCTGTACAGATCTGCTGCTATCAGCACTCACACTCTGAAGGCAGAGTGGGCCAGGGCCCAGAAACTGGAGGTGATGATAAAAAAGAACTAATACCACACCCAAGGAACACACATCCTCTAAAAAGGTGGACCCAAGAAGAAGATATGCTAAACAGTTCTTGGAACATGCAATGCAGTTTGGTAGAAAGTTTACTGTGCATAAGGGTCTATGAATATGCAAAGGGCTGATGTCATGAAAAGGTATTTAAGGGGTATCCCTGAAGATAACAGGGTGCTCTTGGCTGAGTAATAACCTTTGCTCTGTGGTCCTTGTCTCCTGTTGTCCTTTATTAAACTTTTTACATTTTCACAGGAGGGTGAATGCATTTTTCACAGCGGTTTTGACTGCTTTACCTGAATGCCTCCCCAAGCAGCTTTTCCACAGGAGATGCTTACTGGGGATAATAGGTAGCAGCATCCACCATGCTACACCTTGGCCCTGGGAGGGGCTCTCAGCTGCTGCTCAAAGATCTGCCCATCCACAAACAGCACTGAGGGTGGGGGCAGTGATAAAGCTCAGTTTTTAAGCAGTGCAACACAAATCTTTGACTTAAAATGAAACCCTGGACTTTGAGGGGTCTGGAGATTCCACTGGAAGAAAAGCCAGGTGGACACACCTGAACCAGCCTCTCCTGTGTGAGGACATTCTCTGTGCCAGGACAAGTGACAGCTCACCTGCTCCAGAGACAAGAACAGCCACCTTCACCTTTCTCTTGCCGGGCTGAGGCTGGATCTCAGCAGTGCTGGCGTCCAGCAGCTGCTGGGGGCTGCTCAGCTGCAGGGCCTCTGCAAGATTCTCCACTACAATGTGAGAACCTGCTCCAAACACACAGGGAAAGTGTTAGATTTCTCCTTTCATTCTAAACTGATTTTGTGTAGTTTATTAATAATGTTTCAAGGACAAGAAATTGCATCAGCAATGAATTTATGCTGGCACAGGTAGAGCTCCAGAGGGATTCAGTGCTTGAACAGCCCAGGTCCAGGAGCTGTGCTGGCCTCTGCTGTTACCTGCTCACAGAGTTGTTCACAAAGGCCCAGCAGGCATGGCCTTTTCAAGGATTAATCCCATCTTTTATACCTCCCATGTGGCAAAGGAACACTAAAACTGATGCTGACAGAGCTGAGGTGACATTCTGGCTGCCCAAACTGTGGAGTTTCCAGAGGGATTTTGGTTCATGTCCTGCTGGATGTCAGTCAGTGCCACACCAGGATTCAGACTGACCATCACCACCACAGTCTGTACAAAGCTGTGGCCTGTTCTCAGCCTTTACACAGGGCTGTGTCAGCTGGGAAAGGATGGACAGGAGGGGAGTTATCACCATGAGTGTGGTAAAATATCCCCTGATTTTTGGAACAATTTTTGGAACAATCCCTTCAGCGCAGGGATTTCCTGAAGCCTCAGGCAGGGGAAGAGGTTATCCAGGTGCTGCCACTCTGAAACAAGAACTCATTTCTCATTTATTTAATACTGAAACGTAGATGTGGAGGTGCCCAGCAGCCTCCAGCCTAGTGAAACAACAGGAAAGGGGTGTGAACTACACAGATTTTGCAACAGGGAGTCTCTTCAGTCCCACGAGGACATCTGCTCACCTGTGTGACAAGGGGCAACCACCTTCCCAATCAGCCAGGCCTCCTGCTGCTTCTGGATGTCCTGGAGAACGTGCTGGGCCAGCTCCTTCTGCACGACCAAGACGGCCCCGATCCCACAGGGAAGGGTCTGAGCCATCTCCTCTGCAGAGAGGTTCCCCTCCTTGTAGAGCCAGCCAAAGATTTCAGGGATCTTCCAGCTGAGAGCATCTGGGAAAGATTGAAATTGGTGTGTGGGCAGCACAAATGGTTGTTATGGTTTATTATTTACTGTCTGCAGTGACAGTGATGTGTCACAGGAGCTGGTAGAGAGCAATTCTTGCTGCCACACACCCCCAAATCCCTGGTGCTGGCACAGCCCTCCCAGCCCAGGCAGTGCCAGCTGTGCCCCATGGGCACCTTGTCCCCAGCCCAGAGCACTCAGTGCCACCTGCAGGGGACACCTGCAGGGATGGGCACTGCCAAGCTCCCTGGGCAGCCCCTGCCAAGGCCTGAGCCCCCTTTCCATGGGCAAATTCCTGCTGCTGGCCCAGCTGAGGGGACCTTAAAACCCATCTCAATCCATGCTCTACATGGCAGGGACACCTTCCACTGCCCCAGGGTGCTCCAAGCCCCAGTGTCCAACCTGGCCTTGGAAATGTCTTTCTTTCCTTTCCAACTTCATTATAGAGAAATACAACCCAACACACAGACATCTTTCTTTCCCTTTCCCCATCCCCACTGTATTTTTAGACTCACATGAACATGGTTTTCTTTAGTATTTCAAACTTATGAATTTGCCCAATTTTGGCTTCATCAGAAAAAGTTCTGCCTTACTCACAGATGTCAGATGATGTGGGGAAGCTACCAAAAAGTACATTAAATATGTGTGAAGCAAATAGTGCAAATTTATTGTTCTACCAAACCTCAGCATTTGGTCAAAATGTTTTGTTTGGAAAAGTGTCCTGAGGAACACACAATCTTCTCCAACACCTTGTGTCCTGGAGATGTGCTGCCCTTAATATCCTCTGGAATTTCCCTTTTCCCGCAAGCAGTGGGGCTCATGACTTGGAACAGGAGTGGTTTTGGCAGCCCCTTGGGAAGCAGCCACGTGGGGCCATTCCCCTCTGCAGGTACATTTCTGAGGATTCCACAGCTGCAGGTGGAAGGTTGAGGCCGTGCTGGGCCCGAGTCCTGTCACAGTTCTGTCCCAGGAGCCCCTCAGGTACTCACCCAGGATGGCGCTGAGGTGCTCGGGCAGGAGCCTGGAGATGCCCCCCAGGAGCCCCTCAGCCGTGGGGGCAAAGCCCTTCACATGCCCCGAGCGAAGGACGGGCAGCAGAGCTGGGCTGAACATCTTCCCTGGGGTCAGCAAAACATCTCCTGCAAACAACAGCCTCAGCTCAGTCCTGTTTGAAACCTCAGGGAGTTTAGAATCAAAAAATCAGAGAATGATTTGGACTGGGAGGGAGCTTAAAGCTCATCCAGTGCCACCCTGCCATGGCAGGGACACCTTCCCCTGTGCCAGGCTGCTCCAGCCCCAGTGTCCAGCCTGGCCTTGGGCACTGCCAGGGATCCAGGGGCAGCCCCAGCTGCTCTGGGCACCCTGTGCCAGCCCTGCCCACCCTGCCAGGAACAATTCCTCATTGCCAAGATCCCACCCAGCCCTGCCCTCTGGCACTGGGAGCCATTCCCTGGCTCCTGACCCCCTATGCCCTGTCCCCAGTCCCCCTGCAGCTCTCCTGGAGCCCCTTTGGGAACTGGCAGGGCCTCTGAGCTCTCCCAGAGCCTTCCATTCCCCAGGCTGAATTTGATGGGTTTGTTTCAAAGGCCGTGGGGTGTTTTTGGGGATGTTTCTCTGGACAGGCTCTCTCCCAGTCCTTGCAGAAGGCTTGGGAAGGAGGCAGAAGTGCTGCCCACTCTTGCAGAGCAGCGGGCACAGCCCGACCCCAAACTCTGGCAAACCCCTCCCGACGGGAGCATCCCCGGCCCTGCAGACGGCTGGGGAAGAAGCAGAGCGCACCCAGAGTGGTGTCCCCGCAGCTGCCCGGGGCTGGCGAGGAGCAGCGCAGCGAGGCTGTCAGGAGGATCCTCCGCACGACGCCGAAGGCGCGGCCGTGGATGCCGGGCGAGCCCAGCCCCAGGAGCGCGTCCCCCTCCTCGGCTCTCTGCAGCCCCGGCAGCCGCTGGCCCCTCTCCGCCGCGCCCACCGCGAACCCCGCCAGGGCACAGAGCCCCGGGGGACTCGGAGCTGCCGCTTCTGTCACCTCCTCACCTGCAAGGGACACAGGTCAGCACCTCCTGCTCGTGGTCGTTTTAGAGTCACAGAATCACAGACTGGGTTTAAAACTCGTCCTGCCACCCCTGCCATGGCAGGGACACCTTCCCCTGTGCCAGGCTGCTCCAGCCCCAGTGTCCAGCCTGGCCTTGGGCACTGCCAGGGATCCAGGGGCAGCCCCAGCTGCTCTGGGAATTCCATCCCAGCTCCTTCCCACCCTGCTGGGAAACAATTGCTGCCCAATATCCCACCTAACCCTGCCCTCCCTCAGCTCAAAGCCGTTATTGTAACACCAATTTAAATTTATGGCATCTCCTAAAGTCAGCAGCACATCCAGGGACACACAGCCTAAGAAGATTCAGATATATTTCAAAAATCCTTCTGTATTTGTTACTTCACCTCAAGACTCCAACAAAACAAATCTTCAGGAAAGAAGTGTTTTTGTCATTATCAATTCTGGTACTCACGTGGCACCTCCCTGAGTATGGGAGAGAGCATGGAAACATTAATATTGAACAGCGTGAGTCTCCCAGCTCTGTTCTCCTTTGTTCAGGGATAAAGAAGGAAGAGCAAGGACCCAAGTGCACAAATATTAAACCCCATCTTCCTGTGCTGACCCATTTTACAGAGCAGGAAGAACTGAAGCACAAATTCCCTGCTGTTTTTTCCACCAGACAGAAACCAACAATGCCAGGGCCACATTCTGCCTCCGCCTCCCAAGTCCATTTCTGTGGTGATAAATTCAACCTCAGACCCTTCACACCTCAGAGGAGAGGAGGGTCCATACCCAGGAAAGCACACCCTGCACTCCTGCAAGCCTCAGCTATTCCTTCTTTGATGGTTTCCACCACTTCAGCATCGAGTTTGCCACAGGCCAAATGGCTGAGGAAGAAGAGGGGCTCAGCCCCCTGGGCCAGGAGGTCATTGACACACAGGGCCACCAGGTCCTGCCCGAGGGTGTCGTGCCTTTTACAGACCTGGGCAACCTGCAAATACGGTGGGAAAGAGAAACGGGCAAAACTCAATTATTCATCAGTGAAATCAGCAGAAACCTTCTTTTCTCTGAAAGGAAGCACTGCAGGACATACATGGAAGACAGAACCTGGTGCATTACCTGGTCAAAATCAAGAGAAAACAGCTCATTTTCTTTCAGACAGAAAAAAGAAATCTCCATTTTGCTTTTTTTAAAATATCAATTTGAATTTCAGCCATAGCTAGCTAGAAATTGTCAGTTTGAGATTTTTTTTGTTTGTTTGCTTGCTTTCTGGAATATTATCATAAAAGTTTCATGTTTATCGTAGAATCATGGAGTGATTTGGGTTGGGAGAGACCTTAAATCCCACCCAGTGCCACCCCTGCCATGGCAGGGACACCTCCCACTGTGCCAGGCTGCTCCAGCCCCAGTGCCCAGCCTGGCCTTGGGCACTGCCAGGGATCCAGGGGCAGCCCCAGCTGCTCTGGGCACCCTGTGCCAGCCCTGCCCACCCTGCCAGGGAACAATTCCTCATTGCCAAGATCCCATCCATTGCTGCCCTCTGGCACTGGCAGCCATTCCCTGGGTGCTGTCCCTGCAGGCCTTGTCCCCAGTCCCTCTGCAGCTCTCCTGGAGCCCCTTCAGACCCTGCAGGAAGGTTTTTGGTAAAGTACAATTCCCTCAGGGAAGTTGCTGTTTGGTTTTAGAAGAGCTCCTTGGGGTGTCTCCATTTCACAAGTAGTGAAACCTGGCTCAGGTGCTGTGGCTCCCATGAAGTTCTGACATTTCCAGCTCCCAGGGTACCCTGGAGCCTCCTGTTCAGCTCACAGGGCTGCCATGGACAGAGGTTACACAGGGATCACAGAATTATAAATGCAGAGAGTTACTTAGGGTGCAAAAGGCCTTTAAGATCATCAGTGGGTACCTTTCAAGGAGGTTCCTTTCACTCACACAGTTCCACCTGAGCAGAAAATCCCAGGACAGAGGGATGGGTGAGGGATAACATGGATAAATACCACTGGATTCCCATTGGTGAGGGAGCAGCAGCCAAACAAAGCCTGGGCTTGGATTCCTGACTGATTTCCCTGGTTGCTGGATGGAGGAGTGCTATGGAAACAGGCACCCCATGGCCCTTGCTGCATGCCAGCACCTCCCTGCCACTGCTCCAGGAGCAAGCCTGGCAGGCAGCTGCCAACTTCCCTTGGCCAAGGGAGAACCTTGGGAACACAGCTGGGGACATCTCTGTGCTAAGCATTGGAACAAAGGCCCACAGCAGCCTGCACCAATCACTTTTTCATGCTCAGAGGTGCCTGAGGATGTGAGACTGCCAAAGACCTTCAGGAAGATTCTGCTCAGCTTCCTGCTGTTTGTTGTCCTGCTTAAAGGCACAAACCATTTGAAACAAGGGACATTGCTGTGCTTGACAGTGACAGGAGCTTCAGATCTGCACTCTCCTGATGGCTGAAAACCTTCTGGCTTAACAGACAAATAAATCCCCAGGTCAACTTATCCTGGTTCAATACATAAATATATCCCTGGTTCAATTTATCCCAATTCTCTACATAAATATATTCCTAACTCAGCTTGTCCTGTGTGTTCTTGGCTAATTAAAATTCTTTATTTCTCGGCTTCTTTAACATTTATTTCTTCCATCCTTCTTTTCCTGGGTGTCCTGACCTGTTCTCTCTCCCCACACACAATTTATTAGGTTGAGCCTGCCAATTCTCAATTCAACAGCTCCCTGTGCTCCTCCACACAGATCCTCCTCAAATGGACCAACAGACCCTCCAATTTATAGCAGAAATTCTGGGGTTCAGCGCCTCAAGTTTCCAGCCAAATTTTGGGTTGTTACCATTTCACCATGAAATACCCACATCCTCAATTAAGTATGCCCAGGCCTTGCACAAATCACAATTTCCAAAGTGCAGGAGCTCACTGTGGTGGACTCAGGAGTGTTTGTGGAGCTCAGGAGGGTGCAGCTGGTGGGACTGGAACAGCCCTGGCAGGCTGTTGGAGCCCTGGCTACTGAGAACTTCAGATTTTCTGTGCTAACAAACACTGACCCTCAAGAGAACACTGCATTTGACCTGAAACTGTGGAGAAAACTTCCAAAATTGAATGACAAAACTGAAATTATGGGTGTGTAGTTTAAATAGAATTGTGTAATATCACATGGTAAAAAAACTTAGAGTTTAAAGTTTCAGAATATAATAATATAAAGTTTAAAGTTTCAGAATATTATAATATAAAAAACAAGATTAAAGTTTTAAAGCAGAAGCTAGTTCATCGTTATCTCCTTCTTCACAGGTTTAAGTAGCATTGTGTAATTAGATAAAAAAGTCCACATTACAAGTCATGAGTATTCAGTTACTAAGTTAAAAATAAAAATAATTTAAGTGTTATTTCTTAATTAGACAGTTTATCCTTAAAAAACCTTATGGAAAGGGAGATACAACTCAATTTTTTACCTTGTTAGTAAAGTACTGTAAAGCTCACAACTTGTAAGACTGTAACATAATTAAAAACGGATAAACATCTAAGTTCAAGATACCAGAAAAATAAACATGACAAGAAACAACATAAAGACATTGAAGTCAGTAAAGAAAAAGTCAAATCCCAAATAGGGGGGATGAGGAATTGCTTTAAGATTAAGGCTGAAATCCTGTTGCAAAACTATAGAGAAAAATTCTTTTTCCCTACATGAAAGTACAGAGAGATGAAAGTGTTCAAATTGATATCAAACAAAAGCCTCCACACCAAATATAACAGGCAGTAGTTGTAATCTATAAGAAGTTTAAACAGAGAAAGAGAAAAATGATAAGACCCTATAGGCTCAAAGAGAGAAGAGGAAGACTTGTATTCCCAGAGATAAAGATGATTTTAGAAATAAATAATAATAATAAACATAAAAGAATAAAATCAACACCAGGTGCCATCAGCTGTGCTGCAGTGGAGCTGCCAGTGAATTACTTGCAGTTTGGGTCCAAGGCCCTTGGTCTGGGACACCAGGATGGGATCTTCATAGCCAGATGCCTTCAGGTCAAAGAAAGCAGCAAAGCCTCCTCCTTCTGAGCGACTTCCTGCTGGGTACAAACACAGCAGGGACTGGATTTATGGGAAATAAAACCACCCAAAAGTCTCAGCAAGAAAAGAAATGAAAATTATTATTATTTACCCCAAAATCCCTGGGGCTGGCACAGCCCTGCCAGCCCAGGCAGTGCCAGCTGTGCCCCATGGGCACCTTGTCCCCAGCCCAGAGCACTCAGTGCCACCTGCAGGGGACACCTGCAGGGATGGGCACTGCCAAGCTCCCTGGGCAGCCCCTGCCAAGGCCTGAGCACCCTTTCCATGGGCAAATTCCTGCTGCTGGCCCAGCTGAGCCTACCCTGGCCTAGCCTGAGGCCATTCCCTCTGCTCCTGTCCCTGTTCCCTGGCAGCAGAGCCCGACCCCCCCGGCTGTGCCCTCCTGCCAGGGACTTGTGCAGAGCCACAAGGGCCCCTGAGCCTCCTTTGCTCAGGGTTTCTATTACTATTATTTTATTTATTTATTTATTTCCAATATGTTCCTCTCCATTCTGCCCCTCTAAGAAGTACAGTCCCCTCCATGGCACGGCAGGCATTTGTTAATTAATCATAAGAGTGACAAGAAAGAAATTGATTTTCATCCTTTTGCTGATCCCAGCCCAATTTCCCAAGCTCAATTTCAATGCCATGAATGCATTGCCCAACCCCAGGGAGGAAAAAAAATTAATGTACTGAGGGAATTCTCAGATTTTTCCCAGTCCTACCTGCCCTGGTGCCTCTCACAGCTGATGCTTGTGGCAGACAGCTCAAAACCTCTCTTGTTCCAGCTCCCACGTGTCTGTCCTTGTACATCAGGGCCCTGCGGGGAGGGAAGGATGAGCTGGCAGCAGCAGTGACCCTTTCTTTCTGCAGGGCCAGCAGAGGTGGCGCAGATGTGAGGGCAGGGAGGAACATCTGGGCTGTGCTCACGTACAGGGGCTGGCGCAGCAGCCGCAGGCCCCGGTGCCCGATGTCCCTCCTGAAGGTGGCCCCCTGGAAGTGGATGGTGGCCACACCCCGGTTGGCTTCTCCCAGGGCTTCCATCAGGTCCTGCCTGACGGCAGTGATGGACAGGACTCTGCCACCAGTGGTCACCACCCTGCCGTCCTTCAGCGCCGTGCCCCCGTGGAACACCTGCAGCCCCAGCTCCTTGGCCTGCACAAGCCCTGCAAAGACAAATTTGGGGGTTCTCTGAGGGTTTTGAATTGCATTCTCCGATGACAAACTCGGAATTAAGGTGGGAAGAGCCCTTCAGGATCATCCAATTGCACCTCAGCCCCACCAGCATCACCCCAAACCCTGTCCCCAAGGCCACATCCAGACTCCTCTGGGACAATTCCAGTGACTCCAAACCTCCCTGGGCAGTTCATCCCAAGGCCTGACCACTCTGCCAGGGAAATTTTCTGTCCCAGTCTCCAACCTGAGCCTCCCCTGGTGCCATTTGAGGCCATTTCCTCTCCTCCTTTCCCTGCCCCTCCTGGCAGGAGCTGTGCAGAGCAGTGAGGTCCCCCCTGAGCCTCCTTTTCTCCAGGCTGAGTCCCTTCCCAGCTCCCTCAGCTGCCCCTCCCAGGATGTGTTTTCCAGACCTTTCCCCAGATCCATTACCTTCTGTGGGCAAAACACTGAAGATTGAAGTCCTTTATTCAGTCAAGGGAAAACAACAGACATTTTCAGCTTTGCTTTTTTCTGAGAAACAGCATGATCAGTGAAAGGCATCCCACTGCACTGGCCCCAGGAATCCCCTTCCGAGCCAGTGCAGCATCACGGAATTCCAGACTGGTTTGGGTGGGAAGGGACCTCAAATCCCACCCAGTGCCAGCCCTGCCATGGCAGGGACACCTTCCCCTGTGCCAGGCTGCTCCAGCCCCAGTGTCCAGCCTGGCCTTGGGCACTGCCAGGGATCCAGGGGCAGCCCCAGCTGCTCTGGCAATTCCATCCCAGCCCTGCCCATCCTGCCAGGGAACAATTCCTCATTCCCAAGATCCCATCCATTGCTGCCCTCTGGCACTGGGAGCCATTCCCTGTGTGCTGTCCCTGCATGCCCTGGAAATTGTCTCTCTCCAGCTTTCCTGGGGCTCCTGCAGGGCCTGCAAGGCCACCCTGAGCTCAGCCCAAAGCTTCTCCTGTGCAGGTGAACAATGCCAGCTGTGCCAGCCTTTGCTGCCAGCAGAGCTGCTCCATCCCTCTGCTCATCCTGGAGCCTCCTCTAGGCTCTCTCCTACGTGTGCACATCTGGTGCACCCCAAATGTAAACAAAGAAATCCCACAGGAGCAGGAATGTGGGACCCAGGAGCCCCCACAGGACACATCCCTGCCTCTGTCAGGAAAGCTGCTCTCTCTCTCTCTCTGGGAGCTGTGGGTAATTTGTGCAGGTTTTTCCTGCAGGAAATGTCAACCCACATCCCTTTCCTGCCTGGATTCTCCCCTCTCCCTGCCATTCCACCACCAGTGCTGATGTTACCTCTGCTCTCCCCCACCATTCCACCCTGCCCACTCCACACAGCTCCCTGCAACGCCTGGAACTGCTGCTCCACAAACACTCACAGGGAGTGAGTTTGTCACTCTGACACTGGGAAACAAAACCGTGCGAGGTTTGGAGGAGCTTTTTAGCTTCAAAAAGATTGAGATTTTTGGATTTTGAGGGAAGAATAAGGGAACAAGAGGAACTGCTGCCATCACCTGGGGAAGCCAGAACCAAGCACAGTTTTCTCCTTGCTACAGGCTCGAGGGATTCCTCCCCCTCGCCCTGCTGCAATCCAACCCCTTTGCATCCTGTTTTAAGGAATACTTCAGAATAAAACGTTTGTCAAGCCATTAAAATCAGAGAGTCACAGAATATCCTGAGCTGGAAGGACACACAAGGATCAGCCAGTCCCACCCCTGGCCCTGCACAGGACACCCCAACAATCCCACCCTGGAAGCATCATCCAAATATATGTGATTCAGTGTGAAAAAGAGAATAAAAAGTAATAAACCCCATGAAACTCTGAAGTGGAAGATAATAACATAATAATAACATAATAATTACATAAATAACAATAATTACAGAATTATAATGAATAAAATGAATTAAAAAATATTTAATTCCATTGGTTTGACTGTGTTGTTTGGGATTAACAAGCAGGGAATCAGAAACCCTGCCAGGGACAAGGCACCAGAGCACGACCTTGTCCCTGGGCAAGGAGAAATTGAGAATCTCTTTTCCCCAGAGAGGAAATGCCAAAAATTGCTGCCAAAACTGGGGAGTCTTGGCCAAGAGCTGAGGTGCTGTGCTGGGCTGACAGCAGCAGAGGGTGGGACTGGCAGGGCTGGGGCTGAGCAGGCAGGAAATGATTCTGCAACTGTTCCCTCTGGTTTTAAACACTGCAAACATCCTCACAGATCCTGAACGTGGAGTACTGGAACAGAGGACATGGATACTGAATACCTGCATGAATCCTAAATATCTATATCCAATAGCCAAATAGTATTGATAGCCAAATGAATACTGAATATCTGTGTGAATCCTGAATATCTATGTCCTGTATCCAAATAGATACTGAATACCTGTATGCATCCTGAATATCTATATTCAATATCCAAATAGATATTGAATACCTATATGAACCCTGAATATCTATACCAAATATCCAAATGGATATTGAATACCTGTATGAATCCTGAATATGTATGTCCTGTATCCAAATAGTATTGATATCTAAATGGATATTGAATACCTGCATGAATCCTGAATATCTATATCCAATATTTAAATGGATACTGAATACCTGCATGAATCCTGAATACCTGTATCTACTATCCAAATGGATATTGATATCCAAATGAATATTGAATACATACATGAATCCTGAATATTTATATCCATTATCCAAATGGATATTGAATATCTTGTGAATCCTGAATATCTATATCCAATAGGTACTGATATCTAAATGAATATTAATATCTGTATGAAACCCGAATATCTATATCTATTATCCAAATGGATATTGATATCTAAATGGATATTGAATACCTGTATGAATCCTGAATACCTATTTCCAGTATCCAAATGGATATTGATATCTACATGAATACTGAATATCTATATCCAATATCCAAATGGTATTGATATCTAAATAGATATTGAATATCTGTATGCATCCTGAATATCTCTGTTGAATATCTATGTGGATATTGAGTATCTATTTCTAATATCTGTATGAAGATTGAACAGCAATATCAAATATCCATATGAATATTGAGTGCCTGTATGAATCCTGAATATGTATGTCCTGTATCCAAATAGTATTGATAGCCAAATGGATATTGAATACCTGCATGAATCCTGAATATCTATATTCCAATATCTAAATGAATACTGAATACTTGTATGATCCTGAATACCTGTATCCAATATCCAAATGGATATTGATATCTAAATGAATGTTGAATACCTGTATGAAACCTGAATGTCTGTATCCAATATCTAAATAGATATTGGTATCTAAATGGATATTGAAAACCTGTGTGAATCCTGAATATCTATATCCCATATCTAAATGAATATTGAATAGCTGTATGAATCCTGAATATCTCTGTTGAATATCTATATGGATCTTGAATATCTATTTTTAATATCTGTATGAAGATTGAATAGTAATATCAAATATCCATATGAATATTGAGTATCTGTGTCTAACATATATATAGATATTGGATACCTATGCAAATACTGAACAGCTATATCAAATATCTATATTAACACTGAATATCCATATGGATATTTAATATATATATCAAATATCCTTATAAATATTGAAGACCTGTATCTAATATCTATATGAATATTGAATATCTATATCTAACATACAAATGAATATTGAATATCTATATCTAATATCCAAATGAATATTGAACATCTATATCTAATAAAAGATATATTATGATATCTATATGAATATTGAATACCTCTCTCTAATATCTAAGCTAATATTGAATACCTACATGAATTCAGAATATCCCAATGCCCACCTTGCCCGGAGCCTGGAGCCCTGTGAGGAAGCAATAAAATAATTAAGAAGCTCCCAGAGTTACCTGTTACCTCCATGCCTTTGTCAGAGTCTCCTGGGTATCCTGGGCTGGCCATGACCACACACACAGCAGTTCTGTTCTCCAGCCAGGCTGGCATGCAGCTGCACAGTTTGCCATCAATTGTGGCTTGAATCACTTCATAAAAATCATTTTTAAGCAGAGGGAGAATTACCTGTAGAAAAGGTTTCAGAGTGATGGAAGTTGATTTTTATTTTGCTGGTTTGTTGAATTTCACCTTAGGGAAAATTCAGTTGATGGAATACAATGTGTATGTGCCAAGCCAGTAGAGTTGGAAACTCTGGGTTTTAATTTAATTTGCAGCATCTTTTGGCACCAGTCACAAATTTAGAAACATAAGGTGTGAGTTTATGTGAAAGGAACATGAATTTAGGCCTCTCCCATTCTGCTTCTATCCAGAAAAAACAAAATCTGAGGAACAGATTTTTTAACTAATATTTCACAGGAGTGGATGAGCCAAAACGTTACCTCAGACATTGTCTGAGATGTTCACATCCAGCTCTTTCCCTAGAAATAAAATACAACAGTAAGAGGTAAAAGAATGGAGCACATCTAATTTTCCAGTGTGTTCCACTCACCTGACACTGGGGATCCCCAAACTGGCATTTAAAGTTTAAAATCTTCACCCCCTCCTTGGTCAGCATCAAACCTGCTTGCAGCACACCTGGACACAAAGCCAAGCAAATGAACTTAAACATTCAAATTAATTTCATTTCATTTCATTATTTAATTTAATTTAATTATTTCATTTCTTTCTTGCTTTCTCCCCTTTAAAAGAAACAGAGCATTTTGGAGCATTCTGCAAATCAGAAGGCCTTAGGAGCAAGAATCCTGCAAGCCATAATAATTCCCAAATACCCATAAAAGTGACAAGCAGCCACCTGAGGAGCAGGGCACCACATTTGAAACCCCACAAAGCAAAAGTTCTCTGGCATCATACACCCAGCTCCATTTTTACTCAACTCCCACTCCACTCTTACTCAGGCATTGTAAAAAAGGCCCCAAAAAGCAGGATTTGAAGATGTGGATGGGAGCCAAACTCTTCAGAGGTCTGGGATCTCCTCAGTGCCAGCAGCAGCCCTTGGCATTAAGTGGCACCTGTGGGCACCACCTGCCTTTTCCAAAAAAACCTCTGGATAAAGATCTGGAGAAAATGGACATTGTTGTATGTAGGAGTGAGCAGTGCTGCAGGACTGAAGTATATGTTGTGCCCTGAACTGCAAATAAATCTGTTTTATTTAAAAATATTTAATAAAATCATTGTGTTTTAAGGAAACAAGACCAAGGTTATCTCCCAGACAAAGAGCTGTGAACCAAACGAGTGAGGCTTAACACTGCATGAAAAATTAGCTGCTGCTGTGTTATTTTTTTAAACAAATACCATCTGGAACTCAGAAGCAGCCTCTGACCATGGAAGTGACCTGGAGAGGGGCTCACCTTGGTTTCCAGCTGCTCACTCACCTACATAGGCTGCTCCTTCTTGTCTCAAGCTGTCCACGATGTGCTGGAGGATTGCACCCCTGATTTGCTCTAGAAGAGCCTCTGGAACCTGACAACCAAATGAAAGCCACGGGGCATTGGTGGCACCTGCTGGCCTTGCTGGAAGGACTGGGCAGGGCTGAGGAGGTGCCCGAGGTGTTTGCTGCTGTCCCCCCAAGCCCTGCTCTGCCCTTGGGGTGCTGCTGCCCGAGGGGGTTTGGGTGCTTCTGAGGGAGGGCTGGGACTGGAACCCGGGCTGAGCACAGTCAGAGTGCTTCTGTCCTTGGAGAAACACCCACTGAAAATGTGGGGGAGCAGAGCTTTAGGATCAACAAGGACCCCCAGGTTTTGTTCCGGGCACAAAGGTCCCAGGCATGCAGGGAATCCTACAGGGATTCCTGATGCTGATGGGAGCAGAGAAACACAGAATTTAGGAATAAAAGGAGAGGTAAAAGAGAATGAAACCCCAAAGGATGGCAGCTGGGGTGAGAGCTTCCAGCAGCAGCAGCCCTGCAGGGGCAGGGCAGAGCTGGGCAGCAGCAGGGGCTGTACCTGGGGCACGGGGCAATAGGCTCCCATCCCTGCCGTGGTGGGACCCCCATCCCCGTCCAGCAGCCGCTTGTGGGGCTGAGCAGGGGGCATGGAGGCCACGGTGACACCGTCGGTGAAGCAGGAGCACTGCAGGGAGAGACAGGGACAGCAGTGACAATGGACACAGTGGGACAGCACTGCTGGGCACGGGCTGAGGCTCAGCTCTGCTGGAAAATGCAAAAATTGCAGAAGCCCAAAATGCAAAGGATATTGAATCCCACCCAGAGCCACCCCTGCCATGGCAGGGACACCTCCCACTGTGCCAGGCTGCTCCAGCCCCAGTGTCCAGCCTGGCCTTGGGCACTGCCAGGGATCCAGGGGCAGCCCCAGCTGCTCTGGGCACCCTGTGCCAGCCCTGCCCACCCTCTGAGTGAAGAATTTCTCAGAATCCTTTTAGATCCAATAAGATCCATTTATTCTGTTACAAGCCCATTGGGCTGAAGGATTCATTGTTTCTTTCTCATGTTTAAATTAGCGAGAGAAATGGTGGCTCATTACAATTCCCTTTTGATTAATCAGATTTTGAGTCCTGTGGGAACACATGCCTGTCCTCTGGCATGTGACTAACCTAAAGGAGGCACTAAATATTATCCCAAAGTTACAGATGTGACATGAATTACCATGACAAAGTCCATAAAAGCATGTTTTGGGTCACTTTAGGGGGAAAAAAAATTCCTCCTAAAATAACCACTATAAATGCAATGTCATTGTTAACGCAGAAGAAAAATCTACTGACAACATGCATTGGTTAGCATGGCACAGGGCTTAGATTGTATTTATATATATGCAATAGATATACATTTCTCAACGTGCAAATAAAACAAAACTAAAATTGGCATTTGAAAGAATAAACTTGGGTGTTTATACAGAAGCATAGCAATAATGCCAAAGAGTAAAAGCACAACATCACACCATCAATACCTACAGAAATTTCTTCCCCTTGAAGCAGTTCTTCAATAACAACCATCTCTCCAAATATTCTGTCCTGTAAAAGACAGAACAAAACAAAAGAAATCCACTGCCTAAATCCCCTCTTCATTTTCTTTTAACAAAAAACCCAGTGTTTATGAGAAGTGCCAGCTTGCTTGAATGCCAGTGAGGAAAACCAATGGAATTCCATTTGGACATAAGGAGGCAACACTGAAATATTCCATATCAGGCCTGGGAGACAAGGAAAAATTACAATTTGGAGGGACCCGAGGCAGGATCAGAAGTTCAGTCACAAAAATTCCCAGCCCTGGCTGGAGGACACAGGAGGAATCTGAGGAGACCCAGGCAAACTCTTGAGCCGAATGAAGAATTTCTCCCAAAAATACTTGTCCCCTGTAGCAGGAATTACAGACTCCCAGAGTACAGAGCACCAAGATTCGGACTGGCAGAGATTAGTTAAGGATTTTCCCACCTGCATGATCTCCTGGACAGCTCTGCAGGCCTCCTCCTTGCTGGCTGCAATGGTCACCTCCTTCCTGGCCGCTGGCCCCTGCGCCCGCACCACCCGTGCAGGGAAGTCTGTGCTTTAAGGGAAGCAGAGAGGGGCTCAGATATCCCTGCTGCATCCAGGGAAATCTCCACTTTGCTCCTGGATGCCCCCCACACTCCCACTGTACCTCCAGAATCTCCCCACTTACTCTGAAACACAAGGTAAATCCAGAAGTTAAAAAAGAACAAAGCATCATCCTGGTAATGGATGGATTTTAATCTTACCCAGTCACTTTCTGGCTTGTGAACAGCAAATAAAATGTTTTTTGAAGGGCTGATTTTCCTGTTTCCTGAAGGAACACCTCACTCTCCTTCCCACACTATGATTTCTGTTGGGTTAAACCTCAGCCCAGTTGATACCACCCAGGCTGCCACCCCTTCTCCCCATCTCTCTGTGCACACCTGGGACAGTTTTCCCTTTGGAGCCCTGTACTTGCTGACAGAGAAGGTGTTGGCCTTGGCTCCATGTGGCAGCAACACGAAATGGGTGTTCTTACAGAGGAAAACCAGTGAAAAGGTTGGTTTTGCTCCCAACTTTTAATAGAAAGGTTTTTACTAAAAAAAAACCCCACAGGTTTATCCAATATGGAGCACTTGCCAGCAAGGACAAGGAGTCTGGGAACACAACCCACAGGCAAAGAAATGGGACCATTCTCGTTTAGCTATGGATATTTGACCAGAACCTTCCAAATCATCCTCAGAGATTTTTTTTGCTGGCATCTGTCTGGGTAGAAATTGTTCTCAGCCCTTAACTAACTGAAAGATTTGTTGAAATATTTTTCTTTATTACAACTTTTTGTCTTAGAGATGGCTTATTGAGCATCCTGAAGGAGCAGATGGAAAAGAAGAACAGCTGGGAATTCAGAACAGAAAAATCAGCCTGCTGCAGTTCACAAAATCAGAAGGGTCTGGGTTGGAAGGACCTCAAATCACACCCAGTGCCAGCCCTGCCATGGCAGGGACACCTTCCCCTGTGCCAGGCTGCTCCAGCCCCAGTGCCCAGCCTGGCCTTGGGCACTGCCAGGGATCCAGGGGCAGCCCCAGCTGCTCTGGGCACCCTGTGCCAGCCCTGCCCACCCTGCCAGGGAACAATTCCTCATTGCCAAGATCCCATCCATTGCTGCCCTCTGGCACTGGCAGCCATTCCCTGGGTGCTGTCCCTGCAGGCCTTGTCCCCAGTCCCTCTGCAGCTCTCCTGGAGCCCCTTCAGGCCCTGCCAGGGGCTCTGAGCTCTGCCTGGAGCTTCTCCTCTCCAGGTGAGCCCCCCCAGCTCTCCCAGCCTGGCTCCAGCAGCTCCACACCTTCATCAGCTGTCTCTAATTACAGAGCTGATTGATCCAGCAGGAGCTGAGGGATTCCCAAACCCCAAGTGATGGCTCCAGGCTCAGGGGGTGGCAGAGGAGCCCCTGGAGGGGCTGTACCTGGTGATGAACCTGCAGGCCTCCTGGGGGGTGCTGAAGGCTCTCCAGCGAGCCGTGGGGAGCCCGTGGTGCTCCAGGAAGGCTTTGCTGGAGCTGCTGTTGGAGGCCAGCTGGGCTGCCCTGGCCCAGGGCCCGAAGCACCGAACTCCGGCTGCCCTCAGGTCATCCACCATGCCTGAGCCACAGAAACAGCACAAGCACCGAGGGGGCTCTGTGGTAAACACCCCAGAAACACCCCCAAAACCACAGCAAAACATCCCAAACCCCCCAAAAACATCCCCAAAACACCCCCTGCCCTCAGGTCATCCACCATGCCTGAGCCACAGAAACAGCACAAGCACCGAGGGGGATCTGTGGTAAACACCCCCAGGAACACCCCCAAAACCACACCAAAACATCCCCAAACCCTCCAAAAACATCCCCAAAACACCCCTGAAAACACCCCCAGAAACATCCAAAAATACCCCTGAAATATCCCAAAAAATCTTGCCGAAAACACCCTGAAAATATCCTCAAAAATACCCCAAATACACACCTAAAATGGCCCCAAAAAACCCACGAAAAACACCCCGAAAATATCCTCAAAAATACCCCAAAAACACAACAAAACACACCTAAAATATCCCCAAAACCAGCCCAAAACACCCACAAAATTATGCTAGAAACACCCCCAGAAACACCCAAAACCACCCCAGAAACATCCCCAAGAAACCTGCCAAAAAGACCCTGAGAACATCCCCAAAAATACACCAAAACACCCCCAAAACCATCCTCAAAACACCCCCAAAATCATGCTAAAAACACCCCAAAACCACTCTGAAAACATCCCCTAAAATACCCCAGAACCACACCAAAACACCCTAAAACCATCCGTGAATAATCACAAAACACCCCCAAAAAACCCCCCTAAACGGACAAAAGGAAATTCCTGTCCATCACCCCTTTGTTACACCTCCAGATAATTAATTTACCCTCCAAGTGAGGTTCTGATTGTCCACTGGCCTTTCTCAGCCTGTGGTTTTAAGGCTCTTTAGCTCTGTACTTTACTGAGCACTCCCACAGTTACCCCCCCCATTTTAAAGCAGATTTCAAGGTGCTGATTATATTATATTACATTATATTACATTATATTATATTACATTATATTATATTACATTATATTACATTATATTACATTACATTATATTATTATATTATATTTTTATATTATACTAATATACTATAGTATTATACTATTATACTATACTATAATATTATACTATACTATAATATTATACTATACTATTATATTATATTGCACTATATTGCACTATATTGTATTATGTTATATTGTGTTATATTGTACTATATTATATTGTGTTAATATTGTGTTATTTTGTGTTATATTGTATCATATTGTATTGTGTTGTATTGTATTTTATTATATTGTATTATTATAATATTATCATACAATTTATATATTTTTTCTGTCAACTTAGGTTTATTTAATTATTTTAGTAACTTACCAGCTGCTAGAAGAGCTTCTGGGCCGACTACCACAAGGCCAATGTTGTGATCTTTGCAGAACTGGGTGACAATAGTGTGATTGCTCACTAATACAGCTGGAAAGGAAAAATAATTAACTGGTGACTTTAAAGCCTAAATAAGAGACAGGAGATGAGAATGGTTTTTTCCCATCCTCCTTGAAGTGTGATTAAAATCATGATGCAGCCCACTAAGGGCAAAGTGGAATATCAATTTAACAATAGCAGAGTCCAAAAGGAGCTGGGAACAACTCCAATTTGCACTGCTGTTTTTAATACACATTTGCTAAGTGATTAAATCTCCTTTATTTGCCACGTGTAATCAAGATATATTTTTAAAAGCTGCTTATCACAACAATAACAACTTTGAAAAACAAGACTTAAGGTTGGGAAAGAAACTCAATTCCAACAGCTGAGTAAAGATTTACTCAAAGCATTGGATGATGCAGCTAAATTTCACTGGGCAGCCTAGGCAGGTATAGTGATGTTTCTGTTCAGAATTAAGAACTTTGAGCCTTCTGATTCTGGGTTAAGTTTCACTGGAATTGGTCACAGAATTCAAGCACAAAAGTGGAAGAGATGAGGTGTAGAAACACAGTCTCATATAAGCCTCACTAGCTTAAGCAGCAAGGCTAAAACAAACAGAGCAGGGTGTTTCAGGAGGCAGCCCTGAAATTCAGAAACAAAGCACAAAATAAAGCAGAAATCTGTGCCTTCAATCATTTGTGGCACCAGTAAAAGGGCAACTGGCACCTGTCTGTGGGATTCACATTCTCTGAACCTGAGAGAAGCAGAGAAAAGACTGATCAAAACCATTCTTATCTCATCGGCAGCGCCTGTGTTGTGCCAAAGTGGAATGCCTTGTGGGAGATTGTTTACCTGAAGGGAATTGGTAATTGGATTTTGGTGTGAGTGTTTTGATTGCTTTGATTCATTGGCCAGTTGGATCCAGGTGTGTGAGTTGGGACTGTGGCTGACAGTTACGAGAGTGCAGCTGAGTGAGGTGGGTGCTTGGGCAGATTCAGTTTAGATGTATTTAATACAGAATAATATAGTATAATAAAGTAATTAATTAGCCTTCTGATAAGATGGAGTCAGATGCACCATTTTCTCCCCCTGGTCGGGGTGGCTCTGCATTCACCATACCTGCCCAGTTGGTTTGTCCCAGTTGCTGCAGTGCTGATTGCTTGGACTGGGATTTTTCTCCCCCCTTTTTACCTGAATTGGAGATTTTCCCGTTGGCAGCCGTGCCTGCATTTCCTGGAGCCACAAACACGTGTTTGACGTGTGGGGACTGAGCCAGCTTCCAGGCCAGGGCGTGCTCCCTGCCGCCGCTGCCGATGACCAGCACCCGCTCAGCCATGGCCCTGCAGGACACAGCTGTGGAGATTCTCAGTCAGAGAGAGAACAGAGACAACTTCTCCCACGCTGAGCCCGGGAATCTTAGAGGGAAGAATTCCAACAATTATTATCTCTCTTTGTGTAACCATTGTTTATGGTTATGGTTCTCCACAGCGTGCTGCTGACAGTCACCAATAGTGTGAGATGTTTCTGCCTTGAGACCAACCAACACAGAATTCAAGCACAAAAGTGGAAGAGATGAGGTGTAGAAACACAGTCTCATATAAGCCTCACTAGCTTAAGCAGCAAGGCTAAAACAAACAGAGCAGGGTGTTTCAGGAGGCAGCCCTGAAATTCAGAAACAAAGCACAAAATAAAGCAGAAATCTGTGCCTTCAATCATTTGTGGCACCAGTAAAAGGGCAACTGGCACCTGTCTGTGGGATTCACATTCTCTGAACCTGAGAGAAGCAGAGAAAAGACTGATCAAAACCATTCTTATCTCATCGGCAGCGCCTGTGTTGTGCCAAAGTGGAATGCCTTGTGGGAGATTGTTTACCTGAAGGGAATTGGTAATTGGATTTTGGTGTGAGTGTTTTGATTGCTTTGATTCATTGGCCAGTTGGATCCAGGTGTGTGAGTTGGGACTGTGGCTGACAGTTACGAGAGTGCAGCTGAGTGAGGTGGGTGCTTGGGCAGATTCAGTTTAGATGTATTTAATACAGAATAATATAGTATAATAAAGTAATTAATTAGCCTTCTGATAAGATGGAGTCAGATGCACCATTTTCTCCCCCTGGTCGGGGTGGCTCTGCATTCACCATACCTGCCCAGTTGGTTTGTCCCAGTTGCTGCAGTGCTGATTGCTTGGACTGGGATTTTTCTCCCCCCTTTTTACCTGAATTGGAGATTTTCCCATTGGCAGCCGTGCCTGCATTTCCTGGAGCCACAAACACGTGTTTGACGTGTGGGGACTGAGCCAGCTTCCAGGCCAGGGCGTGCTCCCTGCCGCCGCTGCCGATGACCAGCACCCGCTCAGCCATGGCCCTGCAGGACACAGCTGTGGAGATTCTCAGTCAGAGAGAGAACAGAGACAACTTCTCCCACGCTGAGCCCGGGAATCTTAGAGGGAAGAATTCCAACAATTATTATCTCTCTTTGTGTAACCATTGTTTATGGTTATGGTTCTCCACAGCGTGCTGCTGACAGTCACCAATAGTGTGAGATGTTTCTGCCTTGAGACCAACCAAGGATCACCTTAGAGAGTCACATTACAAAACACCAGCTGCTTTAATTAAACAGAGCCTTCTGACCCACCTGAACACTGGATTATCTCTGTCCATCCCTGACCCAACAGCAGCACCACTGCCCTCAGCCCTGAGCACAGGGATTCCATCCCACTGCCACAGCTTTTGGGTGACATTCACCCAGTCTGTGGCACAAAGGGGCTCCTGGGCTGTGGGACACGGTGGCTGTGCCGGCAGTGCTGCTGGATGGATGCATCTGCCAGGTCTGCTTGAAATATGGACAACAAATGCACTGGGAATTGTTCCAGCAGAGTCAGGATTTCAGCTCTTAAGCAGCCACAGATAGGAAATAGTCATGCCCTGATCAGGTCCTTTGCACAACTGCACAGGACAGGACTAAGTGTCATAAAAATGCTCTAAAAATGTATTTTAATATAATTTATATTTTGTTATGTAATTATATATAATTTATATATTGTATATATATTATATAATTTATATTTTATTATAATGTTGAAAAAATATATAATATATTATTATATCATAATAGTAAAGTATATAATATATTTTATTATAACATGTTTATAATATATGTTTATTATATATTTTATACATAATATACATATTCAATATATGCATATATTTTTATGTATGTATATATACACGCATTTATTTATGTTTATATGTTATGTATGTATTTATTTCCAAACAAAAATAAATAAATCTGTAGCTAATAAACAAACTAAAACAAAATATATAAGACAGAACTAAGCAATGAATATCTATACAATGAAAAACTATATAATAAATAGATGTGCAAAAATAAAAATTAAATTGTTCATCTCCTTTTCATATTTAATAAACATATTTCAGTCTGAATGCTGCGATTGGTCTAGAAGCTTTTAAGAGTGCAAACATGCTCAGCAGTAAATGGCAAAGGCAGATTTCAGGACAGATTTTATCCATGGGCAATTGCTTGGAGGACACTTCAGCAGAGCAGCACATTCAGTAAAAGACAACTGTTCATCTCACTGACATTTTGAGCAGCTCCTCAGAAATATTTTGTGGCAGATTAATTTGGATTTATTTCAGAAATGTTATCATAGGTCACATCTGCAAACTTAATTTCTCCCTATGTGCTGCATGTGGACAAATGTCAGAGTGAAAAATGCACCCCAGAACGTGACCTTTAAGGGGGTGCTAATGGAGAAACGAGTCCTTAGCCAGGAGAGAGATCATAAATTAAAGGTACCACAGAAGCAAGTGCTGCTGCTTTCTCCCAAGGAATCACAGTCCCTGGGTCTAATTCATTGTGCAGCTTCCAAAGGCAAACAGGAGCTAAATGGTGACACTGAGGGAGAATATTCCAGGCAAGATGCTCATGGAGCTGTGACACACCAAGAATTGTGTTTAGAGCTCCTGAGACAGGATTACACTGCCAAAATTCAATTTAACTCTCTCTATTTCATCCTCCTTGAATTGCCCAAGTACAAAGTCAGGAAATCTCAGAGCCCAGCCCTGGGAACTGCACAGTTTTGGGGTTATTTTCTTTTAAATGTCAGGTGCTGTGCTCTAGGTGTACAAACACAGAGCACATGCTTCATTCTCTACCAGGGATGGACTCATTTCCTTGCAAAAGACTTTCTTAGCCTTTTTGTTGGGTGACAATCCAGAGTGTGAGGCTTGGCCCTTCCTTTTGTCACTGCCTGAGAAATAATCACTGGAAGTGGCTGTGAATGTGAAGATGAGTTACAACTGCTCTGTCTCGAACAAGGGCACCAATGTTCTCTGCCAGGCTCCAGAATGGTACAACAGTTAGCAATGAAAAGGAAAGTGGTTTTAAAAGCAATTCCACCCCCCACAGCCCCCCACCCTGTCAATAAAAGGGACCTATAGGCTTACAGAGAGCTAAGCAAGGGTTGAAAGGCGAGAGAGAGGGGCTTCTAAGGTCCAGTCATCCTGGCTCGGCATTTCCTGTCTCAGGTTTCTGACCAGCAGGGAAGTTTTGCAGGCTCTGGACCTGCTACAGTGGAGGGACATTAGAATGTATTTTAATTACAGCATATGGTATATTAAGGTTTTTCTATAATAGACTGTAATATGAATATAGAATATGAAACAGAAAGAAATTATTTGTAAGTTTTATTGATTCATTCAATTTTCTCTATGTTTTTCTATTCTTATCCTTCTTAATGTTATTCTACTTCTTCTTACTAATCTTATTCGTTGCTACTTCTATGTATATTTAAATTCTTATTCCTATTCCTAATCCTATTCCTAAGACAAGTCTTCTTTTTCTTCTTCTTCCACATATTTTAAATTCTTATTCCTATTCCTATTCTTCTTCTTTTTCTACATATTTTTTAATTCTTATTCCTATTCCTATTCTTCATCTTCTATGTATTCTTAAATACTTATTTCTATTCTTCTTGTATCTCTTCTTAAATAAGTCTTCTCTGACTTGTTTTCTCAGTCTTCATCTTTGTCTTCTTCCTCCTTGTAGTCTTCTTCTTCTTCATCTTCTTCATATCCTTTGTCTTTGTCTTCTTCACTGTCTCCATCTTCTTCATCTGTCATGTCATCTTCATCTTCTTTGTTTTCTTTACCCCCCAGTGAGCACACTAAGGATGTTTTTTTGCAAAGCCAAGGAAAAGCATGCTGGAAGAGAGGAAATTTGGTGAGCGAGTTGGTCCAGGAGGAAAGGCTAGAGTGAGGGACAGAGCTGCTGGAGGAAAAGAGAGCTGCAAGGACTCCTGGTGCTGGGAGAAGGGCTGTGGAGAGGAACATCTCCGTGGAATTATTTTCCCTTACCTGTCAGACCCTGCTGTTTGCCCGCACAAAAGGAATCCTCCAGAAGGATCTTCCTGCAGTTGCTGCTTCAGCTCCAAATAATTTCTGATCTCCTAAAGCCAAGGATAAGAGGTGGAAGAGGCAGCCAGGCCTGCAGCAGCCCTGTCCCCCTTGATCCTCCACCCTCATGGGAGGATCCCCAGCAGCATCCCGATGGTGCCTCCCACCCTTCAAGCCCTCTCCACACCCTCAGCACCACAGACCCTCCTCTCTCTCCATCTTCCTTGGTTAAGGTCACAAACAGCTCCTCCCACCAGCCTGTCTGACCATGGAAATAGGATTCAGCCCAGCTACAACGTGTCACAAAGCTGAGCTCGGCACTAAGATCTCATGCAAGAATAGCTTTATATCACGTGCCAGGGGATGTGAAGGATGTCAGAGAGGCAGACAATAAACTATGCTAAAAAAAACGGTTTTATCAATTGTTGTTCTTCTCTTTTTGAACTTATAAATTTGTTTCCTATGATCTGTATTTTGGAAACACTGAAGCAAAACTGAGCAACATCAGGGAAAACACCAACAGCTGACTCCAAGGCTTCAGAATGGCTGTGGAGCACACCTGATGTGGCCCAGGCCTCT